TATTGTGATTAGACTGATAAGATTTAATGTTTTTGTGAAAAGAATCTAGAATGTACAAGCAAGTCACACGCACAAACAGTTCTACAGGTCTGAAACAAATGTAAAACCACCGAAAGACTAGAAATCACAACCGATTTATCTTATTCACAATCTACGAGAAAGGGAAGGATTCCGTGCCAATTTAAAACGACCGCAAATTCCCTCCAATAAAGTTAAATTTAATTTATACAAGTGGAAACCATCACTACGTTAATACTTCGGGCATTACACCCAGAACAGTCCAAAAGTAAAAGTGTATGAAGTTCGTCTCTTTAGGAGCAGAAAAGAGATTTGAGGCATTTACATAAATTATTCAAATTTCAGATGATTTCGTTTGAAATCTACTAGTCGCGTCCCCCCCCCCCCCCCCCCCCCCCCCCCCAACCCCACACTTTCTGTTATTTTTCCTTTCCACAACATTTCACAGCAACATAAAACGCGAGCTGAATATCAATAAATGAAAGTCGCTAACAAAACACTGATATTATTTTAAGGTTGAAAATATCAGTAACTTTTAAATCGAGTCCTGCATGATTTCCTTTCAACTGTAAGCAGTAAAATGTTTGTACGACTCGTTATTACGCAGTTTTAACATGTGTACGTAATTTCAGTCCATTCTCAATGGACACACAAAAACGTTTCCATCGTAACTTTCAGTACCAGACACTTCACATTAGATCACCGCCTTATATTATTAAAATATTAAATTTGTAGAAGTCTTGCCAGTCACAGTGATGGATGGTTTCACAATGATTTTTTTCCCCACCAACATTACATACAGTAATTTATTTTTATTTTCCGACAAATTTTCGATGCTTTGATGATCGCCATCTTATTCGGTCCATGCACATAAAATTTCAACACGCACACACGTTATAAATCTCAGTAATTTTCAGAGGAAAACGCTGAACTAACAATTGCAGGCCAAGTCGGAAAGTTTTCTTTTTCTGAACTGAAGTCTCATTTTATGAACTTCTATCTCTGTCTCTGTATTAGTATGTAAGGGGGGGGGGGGGGGGGGGGGCTTGGATTTTTATAAAGAATGTCTTATATACCTGGTATTCTAAATATAGGTGCTTCATCAAAGAAATCTGAGAATTTCTGTGCATCAAGTGTGGCACTTGAGATGAGAAGTTTAAGGTCAGGTCTGAACCTGGTGATGTCCTTAACAAGTCCAAATAAGATGTCGGTGTGCAGAGTCCTTTCATGAGCTTCATCAATGATCATTACACTGCAAGAAAGACATTATGTTACCAATGAATTAACATGAAACAGTGTAACTCCTCCCATTCCCGTATTTATTATATATATGCCTTTCATCATATTCAAGGAATTTCTTTCATTGTGCATAATGTTCACCCAATTCATCACATTAACTATTCTGGAAAAGAAAATAATATAGTTTTCCTTTCTTTTTTCAGACATGCCTGAATGAGGCTACATACTGCTTAACCAAGTATCAGTATAACACAGTAAGTATCTTTAAATATCTTAAAATGTATACATTTTAGAAACAACCATACTGCAATTTTTCAGTACTCTTGATTGTAGCTGTATTGAAACTCTGTTATGCCCTGGCTGTCTTTCAGCATACCTGTAAGACTGCAGATCAGGCTCTGAAAGAAATTCTCTGTGAAGTGTTCCATCAGTCATATACTTGATGACTGTACGCTCGGATGTGCAGTCCTCAAATCTGATGCTATACCCAACCTGCAAAAAATAACAACAGACTTATGTCTTGAAAAGTACTTAGAGCAGCACATGCAGTAACCTGCATACTGTACTGCTGAACTTCTCCAAAAAGCCGCTGGCTGATCAAGTTGGATGCGACCCACTTCGCAGAATCCGATATGTGATTATTTCCCAGTTTCTCACCCCACTTAATTTTCACATTAAATTGGGTGTTCAGTAATCTTAAAGACAACATTCATGGTAAATCGCGATACAATGGGCGAAACAGAAACCAAACTTTTGTACTACACTTTTCAGCAAAAAGTGAACTCATAATTTGAAGACCGAAGGGTCCTTGTACTGTAGAAATAAGAAAGGTAAGACGTGAGAGAAAGAAGCCTTTAGGATTTTTACACAAGACTGGCATTGGACTCTTACCTCATTACCCAGTTTAACTCCCATCTCCTGGGCAACACGAGCTGCCACGCTCATGGCTGCCACTCGACGTGGTTGCGTACAGCCAATCTTTTTACTGTTATGTGTAAATCCACCTTCATATAAGTACTGTGGAATCTGAGTTGTTTTCCCAGATCCTGTCTCCCCTTCTATGATCAGGACCTATAAGAGGAAGTTGGCTGTTACAGAAGGATTTCCCTGCCCTTCCCTTATCAAAATAAATTTCCCTGCTCTTGATCTTACTCTGTATGATGCAATTCAGAAGATTTCATACCTTAACCAATGGTAGAAGATGGCTGTCTTCTGGTTTGTTGTGCCATGTAGGCTTGTAGACCAGACTACATAGTGCAGCAACCCAGAGGACAGCCGTCTTCAGATTCACTGCCATGAAAACCTCAAATCGTACTTAACCAACAGCCTTTACACCATTTGTCCAATAGGCATGTTCCACAACCCACAGTTCTCATACACATAGTTGCAGTTCACTTTGAGATTTGAGGTTTTCACATTGGTAAGGATGATCATCTTGGTTTTGGTGCTGTGTAGACTGGACAGTAGATGTAACACAGATGTGTAGACTGGACAGTAGATGTAACACTGACATCATCATCATCATCATATAGTACACAGTTATATAATTTTTTAAATTATGCACCCTGAATTACTAACAATTCCTATAAGTAACACTTCAGAGCTACTTACCACAGTACTGAACCTTATCTTACTACTGTAAGAGTGACTAACCTGATGATCTTTGATTGCCTGTATCAGATCATTTCTAAAAGGAAATATGGGTAAACTTCTTCTTGTTTCTTGCAGACTGAATTTTTTCTCCTCTGTTTCTGTTAGTTTTGGTTTATCATCATCCTGCATAGAGAAAAAGATTCCAATACGTGTGAGGACAGGCATTGTATAAATAATTATGTATGTTTACTTTTGCACGTAAATGTACCCAAATTATGAATACCCACCAAAAACTGAACACATGGTTCAAACATAATTCAGAAACAAAAACTTAGAGGGATTGGAAGCTGTAGTATACAACCCAGTTCAAGTCTCCATCTGGGAATTTGCTGAGGGTTTTTGTAATTAGCTTCAGTTTCAAGACAAGTGCAATACCTTGGAGTAAATTGTGGCCACTTCCTCTCCAACCTACTTTCCTCGCATTGTTCGCTGCCATACAGTTTTTTTTTATATACATATACTTAGTACCATTATCATATAAAAACTTGCAATCCATCTAGTACGGACTTGCAGACACTATGCAATCCGTGGTAACAAAGTGTTGAGGATCATGTAGTTTTCTATACAGTAGCACCAGTGTGCAACACGATGCAGGTAAACTACTCATTTGTTTGATGTTAATATCTGTTGTAACACAGTGAGCAGGCAACATGGTTCTGTGTGCTCATTGAGTTTGTCAAGAGATGACACGTACAGTTTCTTTTAACAACACAACCCACGAATCATAGTGATAGTAAAGTCAGCCATGTTGTAGACTAAATATTCTGTTCACAGCATACCTCTCGGTCTGTCCTGGTGCCAGGCATCCTCAAAGCCTGAATAAATTCAATCTCGTCATCCAAGACCAGTTCGTACTCTTGGCCCCTCTCACGATTTTTCTCTGCCTTATCACGAGCGCCAAATCGGAACACAGCCGATGACATCTGTTCCTCCTCCCACTTTTGTTGTTCATAATGTGGAACTTTCTCACGCTCATCAACTTCCACATACTTTTCATCAGCCTGGTCCTGGAACAGATAATATGGTGACACTGGTGTTGACTGGTTCTGCTGCTTTGTACAATCCTACAGCATTGAGAAGAAGAGCCCCCCCAATCGTACTGCCTACTATTACACTGTAGGTCAGGTTAATGTGGAAAATGGTTATGTTTTGACAGCTGGAGGGCTCCCACTCATTCAGGTCATTAAATTTTATACAGGTCTTTTGAGCAGAAAATAATTCATATTTTAATGTATGCCATTTTTGCCTGACGTGTGGGAAAAACTTCTTGTATCTGTTTTAGGTCAAACAGTTTGTCAGTGGGTTAACCATTTAGAAATACTTATTAACTAATATTACATGACATGGTAAGGAATTCATACCCTTTTGTGGTTTTATCCAACTTTGTTGAAATGCAAGAACCAAGAAGGCAGCACCCTCCAACTGGGAAATTCATAGGAATTATAATATGTATAGTTTTCTGCTAACAAAATATATTAACATGATATATTTCTGAACACAGTACCTTTTTGGCATCTGGCATATGGTAACGTTGAACCTTCTCAAGTTCACGTGCTTTCTCATGTTCCTTTGCCAATTGAAATAGCGTCTTCTTGTGTTCCCGTTCCTTATACTCTTTTTCGGTCAGTCTAGATTAGAAAGAATGAAAACAGTACTAAGAATTGGTAAATCTGCACTGATCAAATTCCTATTTTATAAAATTAAAATTATAGTATTTTATTGGATATATTTACTCTTGCTCCTGAAATAGATATTCATCATCAATGATGTCTGCCTCCAATTCTGCTACTTTATCTTCCGTCCTTTTCTTCAAGTACTTTTGTCTTGATTCTATTCGCAACTTTGGAATGATTTTTGAACGATCCTCTGCTTCAAGTTTCAGTCGTTTGGCTGCTTCTTCATAAACTCGCTTCTCTGAAGTGCAATTGAGGTCATCCACATTTTAAGACTCACACTTTTTGGTTTGTATACTCTGTATCTTAATGGTCAATTTCAAAAATGGGAGGGTACTCACCTGAACCTGATGGCTGAGCAACATTTCGTGTCTTCTCTTTATCTTTCTTTTTAAGCCTATCAGCAAATTCATCTCTCTCTTTTAAATCTCTTCGTCGCTGCTTCTCAGTGCTATCATCTGAATCTGAGTCGGACTCGTATTTGTTCCTCTTGTGGTGCTTCAGTTCTCTATCTTTATGCCTGTTTGACTTTATTCTGTCATGGTTACTTTTGTGTTCAGAATAATATTTTGATGAATGACCTGAGTCTCCCCTGGACTTCTCAGCATGATGTCGACCCATTTCTGTTAACAGTACCAAATTAAATGTTGGTGTAAAACAGAGTAAGTTGTTGGCAATTTTATTTACATATCTTGGCAATTGAATAATCTCTGAACTTGACAGAACAGCGTTTCAGTACTAAAAATAAAGGCGTGAAGGTGCAGCTTCATGCATTCTTAACGTCCAAACCCCAGTAGCTTTGCACCAAATTTGATTTTTCTGTCCTGAATTGTCTCTGAAAGACATAAATACAACAGCAGTTAAACACCACCCTTCCTACTCTTATGCCCGTTAAAGCCTAAATTATAAAATTTCTCCACGTTAATTTTAACTAAATGACGTTCAACTTACTGCGAGGTTAGGATGAAAACTACTGCTGTAGTCAACAATTAATACGCGAAAAGCTAATAGTCTAAAAGTCACATTAAGAATCTCAGTGTATGTTTAATTAAAATACTTTTCTTACTTTCGAGCGAAAGTTAGAGGGATAACACTTACAGTACGATATGTGTAAGTTCTACAAATGCATACAGGTTAGATTTTAACACCTACCATACTGTTTACTATTATCACAGTATCGACAACTAAAGCAGCAGAAATGATTTGTGACTCCAACACATTTATCACGTTGGTAGTATTTCATTGTAGCCAATATGTTGAATGAATATCCCAAATGCACAGGAATTCCCTGACAAACTTTGCGTTAACGCGGCAGTGCTGAAACAAGTAATTTTGAACGTTTTGTCGATTACAGTTTGGGTCTACACCGTAATATGTTTAATAGTTCAGATCTAAGCGATAACTGAATTTAGTGACTAGTAGATATTCATGTCGTTATTTTCATTCTAATTTTAGAATTACAGGTTGGTGGTGTTTATGCCCTTGATTTCCAACTTGACCATTTGAGCACAGACTTTTGACAGAAATGGCTGTGTGTATGGGAGGCGGTTGTTATGTATGATTCCAGCAGCAATTATACATTTGCTGAATTTGCACTTTGGATAATCAGGACTTATATACAGGTAGCTGTCCCTTCATCAGGTGCACATTTAAAGGAAAATAATCAGGAAACAGTTTTTGTAAGATCAGCCTTTATTTCTGAGTGCCACAATTGTGTAACCAATGTTTGTAATCACATCTCATTGAAACGTTTTACATGAGCTGAGATATATATATTACATTATTTGATTATCTTCATTGCATTAATGAAAGTTACTTTGGTCCTAGGCTATGAACGATAAAATTCTTTGAGCTGTTCATCTGTGGGTTTGAGGATACAACGATCTCGGAGATTGACGACCCAGCCAGGTTCAAGTCCTAGAAATATCTGCCTTGGATCCTTCCTTTGGGTCAGCATAGCATAATCAGGATCATTTTCCAGTACAGGTAACTGATAACCATATTTTTGTGCTAACACCAGGCGCTCCCAGGATATCTTCTCAGGATCTGCCAGGTAACCACGATTAACAGGGTTTGTGTAATACTCTATTGCATCCTGTGGTGGCACCATGCGGCGTGGAATTGCCTCTCCTGTAGAATCAGTGTGTTACTTTATTACATTAAGAAGGTGAATTACTGTTTTGTGGAGTGTGGTGGCCAAGTTCTGATACCCCAGTATACTCACAAAACAGCCAACAAATTGTATATCAACTGCCTTGGTAACACTGACATAGCACACCTCATTCAATCCATTGTGTTTTAACTGGACTCTGCATATAAATTTTCACACACCAATGAATTACTATTAAGGTGTTAGGTGAATTTAATCTGTTCGTATTGGTCACATATAAATTGTCGTCTACTTCAATATTCTTTTAAGTGGCCAAAAATTAAAAAAAATGTACATAATACAAAATTCAGATTCTATTAAGGTTTTGAAACTTGTCCAATATGTGGTGAAATACAAGGAAAAATAACTTCTGGTTAAATGTGTGGAATAGCTTAGCAGCAATACATTCATTCATTCATACCTGCAACATAATGGAGATGACTATTGACAGCTCCTTAATACACAGTCTGGAGACCCTATATTTCACACCTGCTACATACCTTTCTTGAAAAATCCCTCAGGATTGATTATAGCCCACAGACTGTGAACATCAAAATACGCTGTAGTAATGACACCACCATTTCTCTCGATTGCCGCAATCACTGGTTCTGATGCCCACTGCACTTCTATATTCACTTTTGCTTTGAAAATATTTGCACCCTGCACAAAAACATGCATACAGCAGCTTACATAAATATGCAGACTCTGTATAGAGTAGTAAGTTCAAAATTCAGTGACCTAGCAAATATCAGCTTTGAATCATGCATATTAAAGTTGTCCCACCAGGCATGTTGGGGCATTCATAAAACTTTATGTATGTTCAGGATGTACCTTATTTGAATCTCACCATTCAAACTCATTTTTTGTTAGATTAATATTTTACTCCATGTCTAGGAAAGAAGAATGCCCTTATACAGATCCAGTATCTCAAATATAATTAATGGCTTACCTCATCTGTTAATTGAATGCCAAAATGTTTGTGATGAGGATCTATTTTATATAATCCAGTGTTGCAAATGACTGACAAATCTAGAGGTTGTGAGATATCCAGACGATCTGTATCAATCATTTTCTGAAGCTGTAGTAAAGAGAGGGGTGGGTATTCCCGTCGTAAGCTAAATAAAAGAAAATGTGTCATGACATAATTCCACAGAACACGCATAATACAACTAACTGCATAATGCTACAGGTCTGTGAACATGAATGATTGATTTAGGAAGTAGTGATTATGCAAGACTGGAGAGACTTATTAGTAACCATCTCTCATTCATAATTGTGAGAGATCTAGGCTCGAATATTACAGTATAGTATGAAAATACTTACTGATGCCCCTTGTAATATGGCTCGTATGTGAAACGCAAGTAAAATGGGTTATTTCCAGTTTCATAGCCAAGACGCATATAATTTTGTCGTTGCCCAGATCCCTTGTTACCAGCACCATGCTTGTCACCTCCATGCTGTGCGCGGCCTCTGGTTGGCTAAACAGAAAAGAAAGCATAACTTCAAATATTAATAATACAAGGTTTCTTGCGAAATACACAGGAGTTGCCTACCTTCATTGAAATGAAAGAATTTTCCAGTCATGATTTTCAGAATGAGTCGGTAAATGCCAATCAACTGGGAAAAATTTACAAAATATGTCAGTTTTGGAAACGACCCAAGAAATCTAAAAGTCTTGATTTCTCATGTATGGCCAGAGAGATCTGATAACATATGGGTTTCAGTCGTGCCATTACTGGAGACTTATTACATGCCATTTCCAGTATCACTTAACCAAACTACTGTAGTGAATTAATTTTAGTTAAGATACTGTAAAATTAGGAATGTAGAGATTTTAAGTTGCATAGCATTAAGTATAGCTGAAATTCTGTCCCAGTGAAGTAATGACAATGCAGATAGTGGTGCTAAGGCACTGGAATTTGTACAACAATTTTATGGGCACATAAAATTGATTTTCACATAGTGCGTGGTTCAGAGAATTTGGTCATGTGGGATAATTTGAGCAGGTCAGTCTAATAATTTCGTTTCTCTACGTTACCTTTATTCGTGTTCCTGGATTTCTTCGGACGTTTGCCAAACAAACACGAGGAAGTGTTCTTAACATGGCAAAAGCCTTATCCACGCCTTTTTTTCCAGAGAAACTCATTATGCATATGTTTCTGTTTTACTGCTCTGCCCGATTATAATGGACCGAATAAGTACATAAAGGTTATGTTAATAATTATATTACAGTTCTGCACAGCAGCCGGAAAGACTGTTCAGAAATATTTTATTTCCGTTTCGCTAACAGTCGAACCAACTTATTGAATATCCCTGAATTTATGATTGAAAGAAATTTGCTTACCTTGACATGTTTTCATATTTGTCATGTGTGAAATTATTTTCGTAATTAAAAGTGACATGTGTGGAAGCAGTTTAATGTTCGGAAACTAAAAGCTTACACTTTAAATTAATTATCTTTCATTCACCTTCATAAATGACCCGAGATTCTATATTCATTTCACAGGAGAATAATCGCCAAAATTAATGACGGAATACCACGAGGAAGTTGGTGTTTACAATTTTAACAGATATAACGATGGCAGTAACTCAATTAAGCCAGAAGGATTATTTGAAGAAGTATTTATCGTCTAATACCGACGATAAAAAGAAAAGGAAGAAAAAGAAGCTTCAGAAAGCTGTACACGAAAGGTAATGTATTTGAAATGTGTAGGAGTGGGTATGGTAGATTTGTATACGTAGCGAGGTTATGTTTTGAAAGTTTGTTTGTGACATATTAGCACTAACAAACCAAACTATAAAAATAACGAAACTGTATACGATCAATTTTTAAATATTTCCATTCACATATGCTAATGTCCAGGAAATCATATTTATATGTACGGTACAATTATATAATGTTAATTTCCATTTTACTCAAAAGGCACCATTCCTAAAAGAAAATATTTGTTTCCTAAAGGTTTCGTGTAGTGGATGATGACATAGATTTGAAGAATATGCGACCACTTGACGATGATGAATTAGATTTGTATCACTTGGCAGAAGATGGACCACAGATAGCAGGGATTATTGATGAACGTCCAGATGATATGCGAACACTTGAAGAATTTCGTGGTTCCAGGAGGTGGAAAGTAATGTCTGATGAATTTGGTATTGAAGATATTAGAGTAACTGCTTTAGAATATGGGAATAATAAGATTGTTACATCATTGCCTTCAAAGAATCATGGAAAGTCAGATTTGGTTCAGGAGAGAGGACTTGATTCTTCTAGAGAAATTAAAAAGACATCTAGTAAACATCTGAATTCAGATTATTCACCTGTAAGGAAATGTGAAGGTGACTTAGATATAACACCACCTAGGAGGTCTAGGGTACGTAGTGATTCAGATGTTTCTCCAACAAGAAAGCTACAGGCACAGAGAGGTTTGGGTGTGTTACTGCCTAAAAAAGATGGTAGAGAAACAGATTCTGATTCTTCACCTTCAAGGAAAAATAGACACAGTCCAGCATCTCTCAAGAGAAGCAAGTTAGAAGTGTCTCCACAAAGAAAAGAAAAGAGTAAAAGGGAGCTCTCACCTGTCAGGAAGAATAAACGTAATGCTGAGCTACCTCTTACTAGAAAATATAATCATGATTCAGAGAAACCTGTTTCAACTCTGAGAAAAACAAAATATGGTGGATCACCCTCTAGAAAAAACAAGTATCATAATTTATCACCTCCAAGGAAATCTAGAATGCAGAATGACTTTGATACTTCACCACCAAGAAAACCCAGGAGATCAGAAGAATACGACGACACTCCTCCGAGAAATTCAAGGAAGCATGGCAGTAAAATCAATAGAGATCAGAGAAGATGTAGTGATTCAGATGTATCGCCACCTAGGAAAACCCCAAGACATGGTTTGCCTTCCAAAGATAGTTCAAGAACATTGTCGTCTTTCAAAACATCAAGGAACAGTGATGCCAATCATCCTGAAGAATCTCATACAAATGAACGGATTGGATCATTTGCAATAAAATCAAAGCAAGGAGACTTTAAAAAATCTGATAAGACAAATAAAGACCTTTCGGTCATAACAGAATTTGTTTCACCATCAATACATCGCGATAGAAGTGAGTCACCATACAGGAAATACAGACATCGAAGCTCACCAGATTTACCACCCAGAAAATCAAAGGTTCTTGCACATTCAAGGAACAGTTCAGGTAATTCACCTCAAAGGGTTTCTAAAATGTCGAGGAATGCAGCGTCACCTTCAACTAAGAGGAGCGATTATGATGGGAGAGGGAGAATTGAAGACAAATATGGACACCAAGACAGAAGTGACAAAACGAAAGGCAGAATGGAGAAGACATTGGATGGTAAAAGAGCTGGTTTACAAGCTGCTGGAGAACTGAGACAAGAGTTATCTGATTTCAGACGAAGAGAGGATGAGTTGTTTACTGAGGTTAGTATTACTATAACTTTATGATGCTTACATTGTAGGTAAATAAATATGGTGCCTTGATTTCTATAAAAATGACATTTGTCAACATTTGCTTTTATAGTTTGCCATCTTCCTGCTTCTGTTGCAAGGCATTAGGGGATGATGCGTTTGGGTGATTATTTCGGAATTCATGTTCCCTTCTTGAGTCTTGGATATGTAATTTTGGGGAGTGATTCTTCTTCCTTGTGTCTCACGGATAGGTGTTATCCCGCTTAGCTTTTATGCCCTGACTTTCACTATCGGTGTTGTCCAGAGATAGGGACTAGCCTTATTGATTGAGCCCAACAGAGTAGGTGTTACCTGAAGACGGAGATGGGTTCTAGTCTTCGAAACATCGTGTTTTATTAAATCTGGGGATGGTGGATAATGTCCAGAAAGTTGTTTGTTTCAACAACGCACCATCGTCATAAACCTTCAAAATTAAATATACTCTTAGTGGATATGGTCATTACACGTCCCCACACATATCTCACATAATAGTTATGACCATTCTGCTCTATTCTGAGTGTTGTAATGTTATTTTTCATTTGCTTCAAATGTTGCTTCATCATTTATAGATGGGTGATGATGTATCTGGGCGAGGAGCTGCAGTCGTCTTAAGAGATCGTGCGACTGGCAAACGCCGGAACTTGGAAGAGGAAGCAGAACGGAAACAAGACGAAGATGAAAAACTGAAACAATACAAAGAAAAATATTCAAGATGGGGTAAAGGGTATGTATTACACATGCAGTACAGCTGTTAGGTTATGTTTGTGATAGTTTGAGCTCATGTTAAATTTTTATTGGGAAACAAATTTGAATTAATGTAAACTGTGAATTATCTGAAATGAAGGATCTCTTATTCAAGCATGTGACTGCTTTGATCATTCTAGTGGATAACCAGCATGTAGGATAGGTTAGGTTGAATGCAGTGTTTTGAGTTGTTCCTATAAAGGTTTGTTGAGTGCAACGTAGGTCGTTTACAAAAGTTGGATACTCATGAAAGTGCTTAACAGAGGCAGCAGATAATGAAGTGGGGAAGATGACTTGGTGGCAGATTGTATCACGTCTGTGTTTCTTGGGTTTGGCTACTTATCTTAAGTTTCAAGTAAAATGTTTTCTAAATACATTCTTTCCTATTTTGCATTCCTCATCTGTCTTCTTGTTTATTTATTGCAGAAACAATCTTGTGTTGACAGAGCTGTTTAGCAGTGTACGTTCATCGTACTGAATCATAAATCATATTGTTGGCACTGCATAGAGGTCTTAATTATTTTCAGTTATGCTTTATTAAATATGCACTACAGTGAAACATATTTAATTAAAAGTTATTGAAATTTGTATGTTGTGTTATGTACAGACGCCTTTGTTTTAAGAAATAGGTTTGAACTTTGATTTTTGGTTCATGTAATTCAGGAATTGTGAGATTAAGAGCACTTAGGGCAAATCTCATTAGTGTACTAAATTGGGTCAAAATACATTGAGTAGTTCTAGAGATGTACCTTCCCACCACACAAGGTAATTTTCTCTCAGTTTATGCATTTAAGGAAAAAAATATATGTGTGTGTGTGTGTGTGTGTGTGTGAACATAATTATTATCTGGTATATGCAACGTCCCAGAAGAGAACCATCTCAGGGTTTCATTACTTACCCTAATTTTTGGATTTTACAGCATTTTACTTTATGTAATAAAGCTGTCATAATAAATACAGTCTTTATGTTGTATCTTTCGACATAGTGGTTGTGAAGCATTATTCAGACTCTTGGCCTCATTCAGGAAGAACATCACAGGCACAGGACGTCATTGTCATGCGTTTGTGTTGCAGGTTGAAACAAGCAGAGGAGCAGGGGGAGAAGTTGCAGCAGGCCCTTCATGAGATGTCAAAGCCTTTAGCACGCTATGCAGACGATAAAGACTTGGACCAGCATTTACGTAACCAGGAAGTTGAAGGAGATCCCATGTTGGAATATATACGCAGCAAAAAGACAGCAGAGACAACAAAAAGTGAGTTATTCTGTTCTTCTCACACCCCTGAAGTCTACCATTTATATATTTTAAAAGAATATAAGTGATTTGTCGTGATTCTCCTAAGGTAAATAAAAGTATATTTGAAATTACAGAAAATCTGTTGTGTCATAATATTTATTTGTCGTGTTTCAGGTAAACCAAAATACCAAGGTTCCTTCCCACCGAATCGATTTCATATTCCACCAGGCCACAGGTGGGATGGTGTTGATCGTTCGAATGGCTATGAAAAGCAGTGGTTTGAACGACAGAGTTCACGTAAAGCAGTTGAAGAGGAAGCGTATAAATGGAGTACATCAGATATGTAATATTCACTTACATATGTCACGACCCCAGGAAGTTAGTGCCTTCTTGATTAAGGTAATAATCGCTGTATGTAGAACGTAGAAAGAGCAGAGTGCGTAGCTTATGTGTGCGTCATAAGGATTTGATTCATTGTATCTGTTTCACTGTTGTGTCAGTGAATGTAGTTCAAATTTTCCGAACACTGAATTGATTTTATTTTTCATTCTCAAACTTGTGGGTCGAATTTACACGGGAGTCTCCATCTTCTGTACTGTGATGATGACGCTGCCGCCGAAAGTCTGATGATTTTAAAGTTGGATCATTGAAAATGGGAGAGTGAATTTCTGTATTCAGAAATATTTTGTTTGACGTCTGCTTTGCTCAAGTAATTCACAATTTTATTTCAGATGATTCCATTATGCCTTCAGGAAGTTTTGGCATTTGAAGCCATACCAGTAACCACAAATTTTCTTGAACATTTGGTTGATGGAGTTAGTTTTTAATAAAAGTTTCATTTTTAGTATATTGTATTACCATGCATATAAAATCATCCCTTTTTAGAAGATTGTTAGGCCTTCAATATGTATAATCATCTTTAATTAATATATAACTTTGGCTTTTGGTGACGAGCCATGCTGAATGTTGCAGATTTTCCAATGTTTCGGCAAACACTGCAATTGCCATCTTCTGGGTGAATGTGTATTGAGGACTTAGGATGCCTTATATAGGACAGGCTGTAGATGGTGACTGGAATAAGCTTCTTAAAAATTTCACCATGAAGATGACGACTGTATTGTTTTCAGAATCATTGGATCATCTACAGAATTCCAACATCGCTCTTCCCACAAACCCAAAGTTTTATACAGAAACCTAAGGACAATGATCCTTAATTAATGAAGGCCTTGATAAAATGTGTTGGTTTTTATATAAACGGTCGACAGTTTTGTTGTAAATAAGTACTGTAATATATTTATATTGTATCTGTATGAATCCATTGTATCATTCTTTTATCACTTCATTATTGTTATATACGTTAACATTAAGTGCTATTTCCATGTGTATTGCACTAAAGGCGTAATAATGAATATTATACACATTATAAAAAACTATATAAAGTATACTAACTCTGATAGAATCAATTGAAGGACGAAGTAATAAGCTCGTTGAATCACTAATATGACGTCATGTATTTACATTTTTATTGTCCTCATTTTGTTGAACAAGCTTCCGTTCTTCTGCGTACTGGTGTCACTTAAACTCACATTAATTTAAACTAAATTTGGCTGTACACTAATGTTATTCCTTTCCATTGTACGCCATAGTTTGTCGAAATTAGTTTATTCTGATATTCAGTTATTAGAAGAAACACTTAAATTCAGAAGAGTATTTTTGTTGCGCCATCGTGCTGTCTGAAACTAGATACTATCACGTATAGTATTCATTAATTTCATGAAATTGCTTTTTGACGGTAGTTTTGATTCATACACAATTGCTCCTTTCTAGGTTAGTCACATGTCTTACAGTAGATAATAATGTTTGTGCATGGTGGAATTTCCATCTGCCATTTATTTGTTTATGTTTACCTTATTCATTAGATCCTGCTACTAGTCCATATCCTGAGTCAGATTATCCCAGTCTAAGGTCCATTTTAACTTTATTTTCCAATCGATGCCTGAATTTTTCAACTGGTCTCTTCCCTATAGGCATTCCAATAAAAATTTTGAAAGAGTTTCTCATTTCTCCCATGCAAGCTACATACCCTGCTCATCTCATCCTTCTTGGTTTGGTCATCCAAATAGCATTTGGTATAGTGTACAGATTACGAAACTCCGCATTTTGTTATTTTTTTTCAGCATAGCTGAGATTATTTGCAAATAATAATGTCGGTACTTCAGTATACCAAACCTGTGACAATATTAAAAATAGATATTTCTGTGCATTGGTGAGATCAGTGTTTTTTTTTCCCCAATGCATTTTAAAAATAGAGTTTGAGAAACTGCTCAAAGGGTCGATGGGATGACAGTTGAGCAATGATCATTAACATCAAATTCAAAGGACTTAGAAATGAAAATGATAACTGATTCAGTGAACTTTGTCATGGGTTGGATGATCTAATTTTGATTCTTGGCAGGGGCATGGACTTTTCTCATCACCATGTTCAGGCCAGTTCTGGGACTCGTTCAACCTCATATCCAGTGAGTACCAGTCGCAAAGCAGCCAGATCTGTCAAGTGACTTCCGAATAAAACTATATCTTAATTGTGTTTGTTTCATTTATGATGTTCAAAGGACGCATAACAAATGTCAAATGTTCAATTTAAGAAAAACGGTAGATAATCCGACTGGATTTAGAGATGTGTTTGATGATTGAGTTCCTTCTATTTACTGCTCAAATATCATGGATTGTAGAGATTAGTAGAGTCCCAAACAGGATCACAGGGTTTAGAGTTTGTGGAACTAGACAAACCCTAGGGATGCTGCTAGCAATAGGTGTTGTAGTTATGGGTATTATATTTCAAAGCTTGTCAGTAGGCATGTTCACAATAATTGTGAGAGATCCAAAGTGTAGTATTTGAACCACAATAAGTGGAATAGAAGCCTTCGTGGTCAGTAGGCATGTTCACAATAATTGTGTGGGATCCAAAATGTAGTATTTGAACTATAATAAGTGGAATAGAAGCCTTTGTCAGACAGGATGCCATTGTTATGTTACATAAGTCTGTTGACAAAACGAATGTACTACTACTTTACATTTTTTGGTATGGTTTGAACTGGAACTGACTTAACTATAACCCAAAAAGGAGTGATCAGTGTTAAATCCAGAATATGGAAAGTTGTCTGTATTTGTCATTAAAGTTATTCCCAGTTACTATAAAATAATAACTGCCATAACAGATTTTGACAAGTGACGTAGTACAAGAATGTAAGGTACCATTTGGAATTTCAATTTATTTTGATTTGCTACTACATCTGTTGAGCAGCATGTCAACTATTTCAATTTACATCCGTTGACTATTCACAGCCGTTAAAGTAGCTTTACCGAGCAAGACTCGAAAGACTACCGTTATAGTATTCTGCGTACATCTGTCCGTAGGATTTAAATGCAGACGACGTCCTGTCGGCTCCCGTGAGCGTCTGGCGCATGGGGCGTCCCGGCGCGTGTACGGTGGTAGGCACATATCGAGCTCATGAAGAGACATCACTGCGCATGGCCCCGCTAGTATTATTCACGTCAAAAAATACGTTCTGGAACATGAAGTTAGCGCTTTTTATTCAGAATGTGCGGTTGGTGATGAAAACACAGCTCGACATACTATATTATGGTTGCAATGTACTTTATCGTCTGAACAACCACAGTTTTCTTCGAAGATGTGGTACTTCTACATGAGTAAACATAACCTATTTTAAGACAGGCACTCCCACGGTATTTAAAAATAAACTTGAGCATAAATGAGGTTAACGTACAGCAGTAACTTTATGCTCGCTTTTCCGACGCTTGTCAATGAATGTTTTTGGAATAGGTAATACTGTGAAGTTTGATTGAACGATATATGCAATCCTTTCCAGAGTCAGTCCATGCGCTCATGACAGAGAGAGAGGAACCATGCCACCGATTGCGAAGTTCCAAGTTCAGTAACTCGTCTGCTAGCCGGGGGATGAGGTATCAACATCACCACCGCCATCTGCAGGCCCTTAGTTTGACGAAACACTGCCCGTGTTCATCCACGCGTTATCAGTATCTTTGACATCAAGCTAGAGAGAAGTATTTGCTCCGCCGATTTAGTGATAGGAGAAATTCGTTGTTTATAGCAGTTGTACATTATAGATGTGTTTTTTCGTGAATATTTGTAACTGGTAACCACAGGCGCTTTACGTGTTGGTGCTGGTCTGATCGATGGGGTAACATTCGTATGTGTCGAATGTCTTAAACGGTGTTTGTGCTAGTTCAGACCAAAAGGTTAGGAAGCCATTATTTGTGAATGTCCGTGTCTTTAAAGTGAGAGTTGGTACAATTCACTACAAAACCTGAAAAGTAAAGTGTTTGAGAAGACAGGTCTAATGTAACAAACTTGCTCATAATTACTGAAAAGAATCAAGGTTAGAATGTGTTTTGGGTATAAGTGAATCAGCTTGTGATTAATATGATTCCAGAAGTGTAAATGTGTTTTTCTCTGTGGTACTGTAGTGCCAAAGAATAAGCCATATATTATAGAACAAGACTGAACATTTTCATAGACGTAGACAACTTGAAAGCAGAGCTGTTCAAAAATACGTGTTCGTCTTGGTGTATATGAACTGTTCGCTACAACACGGTGCAAGGTACATTTCCCTGTTTATACAAACACTACTTGCATGTTACGTGTTCGTGAATTTGCAAACGACTGTTGTGTTTAAGTGGTGAAGAACGAGGTTACGAAATGGGTTGCAACACAAGTAAAGAGGCGGTGCAACCTGTTGAAGACAGCAACACAACAGGAAAAGCAAAAGATCAGCTACAGAACGAAACGAAAAAGGATCAAGTTGTCAACAATGAAGCAACTGTTCCTGAGATCGGTGAGTACAGTCATACTTAATATTTTAATCTGTTCCAGACAATATTTTTATGTCATTCGTCATTGTTGGTACAGTGCAGCCAAACTGAAACTTCCAGTGTTAGGTTATGGTAGACGGTCATAGCAACACAATAATGTTTCCGTTTTGTTTAAATTAAGAATTTGAGATGTTGGTATTGGGTAACATTTCAATATATCGATTTAGACAAATCTTCGTGATTAGTTGAGAACAGGAATAACTTCACCCATATGTCGTCGCAACAGAAGACCATAATAAGTTTCATATTTTCCACAATGCATATTGTTTAAAGCTGACCACTCCCGTTAGTGCATATGTAAAGTGAGAGTGAAGGTAACCTCCATTACGGCATTTGTCATCATGACGTGGTGCTCAATTAAGCACCAGGGCCAACTTTAATGTGACGTGTGTACGAAGTTAGCTGGGACTGTAACATTTTAAGATCTCACTGTAATGATATGAAAATTTTACATGAATTCAAACCGAACACAAGTTTAAATGTAGATGGCTGTCTTCTGGGATGTTGCACCGTGTTGTCTCGTAGACACTAATTGATGTTTCAGAGGTGATTGATTGCTGCCTCATCATCGTCGCCGTGAGAACCTGACATCTTACCAATTAAAATGTTTTCTATTCCAACTTATTGTTCCTTTATTACATGTGTTGATTTATGTTTTACGACGCTGTAGACTTCTAACCGGAAGGTAGCAGGTTTGAACCTCGGTCATGTCGGATATCACGCTGAAATTTTATTATATTTTCGTTAGCTTTTTTATATGATCCCCAGAGTACAGTCTTGAAATAGACCACGCCCTCCTCCTTCCAAATCCTTATCTGCTGACTATTTATATTATTGCCGTTCCATTATATTAGACTGATTTGACATCTGCAGTTGATAAAACATCGTTGAATCACAACGCTGTATTTTTGTAACGGATCAACAATGATGAATGCAGTGTAATTGTATGCAAAATATAATGGATGAGCTATGCTTTCTTTTCAAAGAAGACCTGTTTTTATGTAATCCAAGGAGTTTTATTTCTATTTTTAAAATTTAGTTGAAAATGGTGAAGGCAGCCAAGTCGAGTGAACAATTTTACGATTCTTGTGTTGCGACGCTGTACGTGGGACCGTTTTGACGGTGACAAACGAGGCCTGTTCCCATAGCAACAGCTGTGATGCGTTGCGGCTGGCTTTTCATGTAGTTCGACATGTCACTGGAGAGCGGAGCTGAACGGTTGCTATCTCATTGAACGAGGCAACTAACTGAGTAGCTTAACAGATAACACTGTTCCGTCACATAAACTAATCTTACTTACGATCTCCATGGAGCCGAGTCCTTCCTGAAAAGCCAACAGTCGCTCAGTCACTCAAGAAGTTCCCAACATTTTATTGAACCCGAAGGTTCATTACCGCGTTCACAAGAGCCCGCCACGAGTCCCTATCCAGAGCCAGATGAATCCAGTCCATACCACCCCATCCTATTTATCTCAGATCTATTATAATATAATCCTCACATCTACGTCTCCGTCTTCCTAGTGGTCTCTTTCCTTCTGGTTTGCCCACCAAAATCCTGCATGCATTTCTCTTCTCTGCCATGCGGGCTACATGCCCTGCCCATCTCATCCTCCTTGACTTCATCTGTCTAGTTGTATTTGGCGAGGAGTACAACTTTTGAATCTCCTCGTTATGAAACTTTCTCCAGCCTCCTAGTAATTCATCCCTCTTGGGTCCAGATATTCTCCCCAGCACCCTGTTCTCAAACACCCTCAGTCTGCGGATACCAAGTTTCAGACCCACACAAAACTTTCTATATTTTAATCTCTACGTTTTTAGACGGCGGACGAGGGGACAGAAGATTCTGAACTGACCGGTAGAAAGCGTCACCCGAATTCAGTCCGCCCTTCGTTGCCTCATGAATCAAATTTTGATTCGTTACTGTCGCTCCCAAATATCCGAACTTTGGCGCAGTTTCAAAGGATCCTTTAGCGATCTTCGCCTGCTTTCTGGTGACGAGACATCAACATATCACTTACTTTTCTCTGTGTTTACTTCTGGAACAACTTTCTCACTAGCCTCTGCGTCTTTGTTCATGGCATTTATGTCATCCTCCCAACAGAATAGATCATCAGAATAGACCACAAGCTCATGTGTCCCATTCAGTTTCAGTCCTACGTGTTTTTCTTAGGCCTTCCTAATGGCGCATTCTAAAGCAAATTTGATAAACATCTCTTGTTTCAGACCATGGTTATTATTATAATTGTTTTACATCAACTTTTGATTTCGTGGAAATTCGATCAGCAGTATTAAAATACGACACGCGATATCAAATTTGAATTTAATTAACTTTTGTGAGTCATATGAGTGAGTGGTGATTCGTGATTATTTGTTTGTTTAACGTCGTTTATCCAACGAAGCAGCAGTGTCAATAGTTTCGAAACGATTCCGGTATCGTAGCTTTAAATCGCAACGTTTCTAAATGAGTCACCGTGAGTCAGCGTCTCCCGTCTTTTACCCCTTAGTAAAAAGTGAGGGATTAACCCATCAGACTAAATGAAAATTTATGTGCGTTATTCTTCTGCGTACTAGATGATGCTTAGTCATTTGCTGGAACATTAATCATGTTGCGTCACGTCCTTAAAAATTAAACAGATGTGAACGGAGGCTGAGCTTTATTATAAAGTTATTGAGTGAAGGTGTCATGGCTTCCTTGCACGTAGCGTTCGTCTGTTAATTCGTACCTTCGTCAGATCTCCTGTCTAGAGGGTGCCAGGGTATTTTCCCCTGGGAATAAGCGGCCGGAGCGTTAATGTACTCACTCATCTGCATCTGGTACCGAGGTTAAGACTTTTCTCCACAGTTCTCCACGTTTTCATTCAGAGGGACAAACACTGCTTTGCTTTTATTATTAATTTCATTACAGAACTTTGGTTAAATTTGAACGGAATGAAAATTTGAAGAAGAAAAAAACGAGCTTAAAATATTACATCATAGGTTTTCAGGTTCACAAGGGTCAGAGTAATTTCTTCGAAAGGAGAATGATGTTGCGTACGAGGGAATTATTGACCATCTGAGCGACTGGTTATTTAACAGGAAGCATTGTACTCCATGAAATTAGTTAATTATGGGCCCTGGCTTATTTTAAATTACTGCCCCAACATTTGTGAGAAATTCCGCGAATAACCACAACTCCGAGCTGAGATTCAGACCCGGGACCTGACAGGACAGTTGAGGTGGCAGGCGTTCAAGGTCAGAACTCAGCGCGGGTGCAAATCGGTGACATGCGTGGGAATTTTTGGAAAACTTGATTAATCCTCTGTTAAAGGACGCATCTGTAAGCTTACGATATGTTCAAATTGAGTATAGTCTGAAATCAATTTTCCACACTAGGATTTTCTGAGCGTTCTTCATGGCTAAATGTTCTTTGAGATTGGCTGGTACGTCGTGATCAGAGGACGTTTGACTTCCCTGCACGAAATGGTTGCCGTGTCAACCGGATTTAGTTGCACGGGCATCAGAATGCCAGATACATTACGGAACCTCTCAGGGTTCTCCTTTGTGTCTCCTGTGAATAGAGGAATGCAGGGAGAAATCGATTTATTTTGAAGAGAAGTTTCTTCAAAATAATGCGTTTGCCTTCTTTAAAAGTTTGCGGAGCTGCGCGTGGGGTTGTGTCGGCCCTGCTTGCCATTCAGATCAATAAAATGGGTGA